GTTTATTTGGATGATATCCTTATCGCCACCGAAAGTGAAAAGCGCCATTTAGAAGTGTTGGAGCAAACACTTGAAGCGTTCCGGAAGGCAAATTTGAAGGTGAAACCTCAAAAATGCCGCCTGATGGAAAATAGCCTGGAATTTTTAGGCCACGTGGTGGATAAGGATGGTATAAGAACGAACCCTGACAAGGTTCGCAACATCCGGGAATACCCTATACCGGGAAATATCGCCCAACTAAGAACGTTCCTGGGAATGGCTGGGTACTATCGCAAGTTCATTTTGAGATACGCGGAAATCGCTAAGCCATTGTACGAGCTAACGAGCCCTAAAAATAAGTTCATCTGGTCAGAAGAACAGAGTAAGGCATTCGAAAAGCTGAAAGACGCGCTATCAAATGCCCCAGTGCTAGGTCAGCCTAACATCGAAAAAGCGTTGGATCAGACCCGACCTTTTATAATCTACACGGACGCGAGTAGAATAGGAGTTGGAGCGGTTTTGGCTCAAGAAGGAGATGATGGGTTTATTCATCCACTTTTCTTTGCTTCAAAATCGTTGTCCTCGGCGGAGCGCAACTACCACGTGACGGATCAGGAGGCTCTAGCGCTCATTTATAGCCTTAAGAAGTTTCATTACTTCATTTTTGGTATCCATACAATAGTGCGCACGGATCACGCCGCGCTGACATCGCTATTCAAAAGAGTCCATGTTACCCCTCGCGTTTTGCGCTGGGCGCTGGAAGTGCAGCGGTATGATTTGAGCATTGAGCATGTAAAGGGTGCGGCGAATTGCGTGGCAGACGCACTATCACGGGGTCCAGTAGACCTTCGGGAAAACCCATCCGTTTGGATTGCAGACGAGAAAGTGGTGTGTGCCGTGCTAGAGCACAGCTGGCTGAGCGAGTTGCGAGAAGACCCAGATTTCAGCTTGGTAATTCAAGCGGTAGAGAATAGAAGAGAAGAGGAGGTAAGACTCCCTAAATACGGACGGAAGTTGAGTTCCCTTGATTTCGTGATTGAAAATGGCCAGTTGATGCTCATAAGCGAAGAAGGTTCGTTTCTTCCAATTGTCCCGCAAAGTCGGCGACATGAAGTGTTCAAGGAAGCGCATAATGGAGCTCTGGGAGGTCATTTCCATGCTCGCAAAATGTATGATCAGCTCAGCAAAACGGTATTTTGGCCAGGAATGTATCGTGATCTGGTAAGATGGTGCAGAGAATGTCAAATTTGCTTTTTGACCAATAATAAGAGGCAAAACATACCGCCCCTTAAGCCGGTAGTAACGGTAAAACCATTTGAAATTGTCGGAATCGACTTACTTGAAATGGGCTTGACTAGTCGCGGGAACCGGTACATAGTCACCATTGTAGACCATTTCACAAAGTATCTTGGAGCATACCCCATACCTGACAAGAAGGCTGAGACTGTAGCGGAAGCGCTGTTCAGTAACTGGATCTGCGGTTGTGGTAGATGGCCAGCTGCTTTGCTTTCCGATCGCGGTAGCGAGTTCGAAAATTCTGTCATGGAAGCGCTGTGTTCAGTTATGGGAATTAAGCAAAAATTCACCAAGGGGTACTGCCCCAGGGAAAACGGTATAACGGAAAGAGCCAATGGTACAATTGTCAAAATGCTCAGGAAAAAGACGGTTGTGCCCGCTGAGTGGGATAGGATCCTACCCACCATCGTTTATGCATACAATGCAGCGCCACATGAAGCGACTGGAGAAAGTCCTCACTTCCTGTTATATGGTCATGACCCTATGTACCCATCGGCTGTTATACCATCAAAAGATTTGTCACCATATATGGTGGACTACGACAATTATAAGACGGAATTCTTGTGTGGGTTAAAGATGGCTCGTGAGCATATCACGGAATATACCAATCAATACCGCAATAGGATGAAAAGGAATTATGACAAAGAGTGGAGCACTCAAAATCCACGAAATTCTGCGTAGGAGATCGTGTGTATGTCAAAATTCCCGCAGAAAAAGGTAAATCGCGACACCCAAAACTCGTTATACCCTGGGAGGGGCCATTTCGCGTTCTTAGGCGCAGAGAATTCCGCCTTAGTAACGCTTATCGGAGAGAATAAGCCTCCAAAAGAAAATCCCTTTGACCACCTGATCAAAGTTCCCTCACAGATTAGTGATAAACCAGTCAAGGGCTTGACAAGTCGCTGCGGAAGACGTGGCAGGCCCAAGAAAGCAGAATAAAAGTCAACAAAATAATATCCAAAACGTGTAACAGAATTCATTATTCTAATTTCAGAACCACGTTCTCTCAACAAGCGATGTACGACATGTGGACTGGCGATGCCCTGGCAAGCTGTTGTGTCAAGGAGTCGAAGTGGAATGCTCCGTGGAAGCAACATTGATTGATATTATTCCCGGTGCCCGTTTGGAGCCCTCAAATTTCGTCACCTATGAACTGGCCCGTATGTTATCTGTTTTGACCCAGTCTCATATCCGGAAGCATGGCGGACTGCCAGACTCTTGGATCGGTCGTACGATCTATTAACGCCAGCGGACTCGGCATGGCACTATCGTTCTACCAGCAACACTGTATTCATTCCACACTGGTATCTGTAGCTGAAGCCGGAAGTGTGCTTCCTGAACATCCACCTCGTAGCGATGGGATCCCTGTAATATGGCAGTCGTTGCGGATGCAGCACGACGTTACGCTTCGAATCACCCGTGGACTAACACATTATGGAAGGATTTGAGGCCAGAAAAAACCTTATCATACTGCCAGCCGGATTCGAGAAGGTAGTGGACTGCCTTAAGGCCGAAAATCAGATAGCTGTCGTCCATGAAAAAACCTGAAGATTTGCAACCGGACTGGTTGAATGAAGACTATTCTTCGATACTACTGTTTAGACCGGCGGAGTTCGCCGGCACCTCGAGATGGCGCGGAGCATGGACGCTCTTACTGCAGTCGGTGGCCCGAGGCACGGAACTGATTGCGATAGCTGGGCCGATGAACGACAAGCAGTGGAAGAAGTCAGTGGATATGCTACGGGACCTCTTCGAAGAGACAATAGCGCAACGTCCCTCTTTAAAGGAGCGCCTACGATGCCTGTTTGTTCACAAGTTGTTCACCCAGAGTGCTGCCAAGCCCTTCTGGGCGACAACGATGGCACAGTTTTCCTCTTTGTTAAAACTGTCTCCATTCATAAGAATGGATGAACGCAGCAGGTCCACTGCTCCCGTGCTCGATCATCACAAGAAGCATGTTCCTTGGAAATGGCAGCAGCGAAGCGGTCAATACCCGCGAGCCGGATACGGTTCAGAGCGGAGTTTTTCCAGGAAGCGTAACCATATCAACGGCAGTGAACTACGTTCCAGAGCTGGACCAGCTTCGGGAAACCGCGGACCACTGCAAAGAATCGGGAACAAGATGTTAAAGTTGGTCCCCGTGGAAACAAAGGGGCGTGATCACCGCCACTCAGGATCTAGGGGGCGTGGCGGCCGAGGATCTAAGCCGTTTAGGCAATTTTAATATGGCGTAGTGGAAACGCCTTGCTTTTTGGGGCCCCCCCATGTAATGTGTGTAGGCAGGCTTCGGGTCCGTTCTCGGCCCTAGGATGGTCGTAAATGCGGCAGCGAGACCGACGGATACGCCGGGCTCGAGCCGTATCCCCGGGTATCACTGGGTGGATGGGCACTATATCCCTTGGTGGACACGCCCATTGCCTATAAATAGGCCCCCCCCGACTGTACATAGCTCTCAATTGCTGTACCTAATCTTTGTCACTTCGTTATTTGTTTTATTGTGAATAAATCTCTCTCTTCACTCTCTCTTCTTGAATTTGTTCCACCAGTCGGAGTCGACTGAATAATCGGGGAAAAACCCACTAGACACTAAACCACAAATTGGGTTAAATCTGAGAATTGGGTTAAATCTGAGATTTGGCTAGAGACTTGTATCCAGGAGTAATTTGAGCCGCTGAACAGGAATAAATACTATTTCAGTGCGAAAACCTTTGCGCAGGTGTTACGAGAGAGACAAGTACAAGCTTTGTTCCACGCACAAAGGATCCACTTTCCTAAAAAAACTGATTGCAGGTTTTCTTACAGGCAAGTTATTGCCAGCGGTGATGTTGAAAGCTTTGTTGACTCTGGTTCTTAAAACATGCAAAATGGTCAGACCACCCGGGAACCAATCCCATGACCTCCACTCCAGAACAGCTGCTCACTACGCTCCGCTTGCGCTTCATTGCTGCACTAAGATGTTTTCTCCTTACGTATATGAAGACGCTTTTACGCTTCCACGAGGTATTATGTTAAACATAACAATGCAGGGAAAACCCCTTTCACAAGTCCGTTCAGAGTATGGTTTCACAAATTTAGAAGGGAGATCTGAGTTCACGTCTCAAGACACGTACGCGATGTACATAACATTGCATATGGCCGGACTGACCTTCACGGGCGAGCTCAGGTGGTCAGGGTTAAGCCCGCGCTACTGTGTGATAACACTAATGCTAAGTTGTAACAGTAACTGGATCGAACGTTATTTCAATGATTGTCATAGTTGACGTAAATATTGAGAACACGCGCATTCCGCAATCACCTAGTGGACAGAACATGTCTGTATCAGCATGCATCACAGTTGTGGGAAATCCTTCAGAGGTATTCCGTCGGAGGAAGTAGGAGGCGCTGTTTGCGCTCGAGATTAAAGCCACTACCATAGCTGTTCGCTGTGGACAACGGGGCTTGTTAGGGGAAACGATGTAGCGCAGAACCAGCCAATGTCTTTTCTTTTCTTTCGACAAGCGACAAGGCTCTATCATGCAATTCGCATCTGCCGTTTTCCACTGACTGCTGTCGCTTAGCCGCTTCAACAAGTGATGGATTATGGATTGACGGCCCCATCATTTGCAGCGAACAAGACTGTAGTATTCACTAGTCGGAAGCGCTAACGTATTACAAGGACAGTTTGCACTGTGTTATCCCAGCCCCCTTTACCGCACCCGCATCCCGTAAACCGACTGTGCTATTGTCTAATGTAAGTTGTTCTCCAATAACTTATATTTGATGAAAGAGGTGGTAATCAAATGACATGGGTAACATGTCCAGGTGGGCTTTAAAACTGACACTGACATAAATACATAGCTATATTTTGAAAATACCTGATCCAGAATGCAAATGAATGGCTTGTTCAAGGCAACAGGAACAGGAGAGGAGTACTTCACAACCTCTAGCGAGTCCTTCTCAGTACGTTTAGCTTTGAATCTGTAGAAAGAGAGTTTAGAATAACGGCAGTCGGCTTTGGCTGAGGTGGGATGGGGCCTTTCTAAGCCGGTGGGTTCCCTTACTACCTTCCGTTAGGCTGCGTTTATACTTTGCGGCAGCGTAGCGTAGCGCTTCCAGCGCACGCCAGCGGCAGTGCCGAAGAGAGGATGCATATCGATCTAGCTTCACCAGTGTTTCTCCAGCGTTTCACCAGCGTTTTGCTAGCGTTTGCAGCGGCAGGGGAGTAGAGACCATGGGAGAGCTGGAGGGTAAAAAACACATCGACTGCGCGTCTCTCACTCGCCCTTAGTCTCTACAATGCACATCGCTCTGGCGTCTCCAATGGCCACATAGTCTCTACAATGCACATCGCTTCTGCGTCTCCGACGGCCACATGGTCTCTACAATACACGTCGATTCCGCGTCTCTCACGGCCACATTAGTCTCTACTCCCCTGCCGCTGCAAACGCTAGCAAAACGCTGGTGAAACGCTGGTGACGCTGGTGAAGCTAGATCGATATGCATCCTCTCTTCGGCACTGCCGCTGGCGTACGCTGGAAGCGCTACGCTACGCTGCCGCAAAGTATAAACGCAGCCTTAAAGGCAGTGTCCGCGATCAGGCTAGGTTTTCCTCTCATTTCGCGAGCGGATAGACTGGCCACAGCGAGCAATTGCACCATGTTTGCGGCACAAAAGCAACTGAGCACGCCAACAATACAGTCGTTCCTATCATTACCTCAAGCACTTTTACTGCCCCCCCCCGCCGCACTACTCGGCCGAAACAGCAGAAGACCGCCGAAGAACATAGGTAGGGAGCTTACCTGTCAATAAGAAATCAGCTGTTATCAATTACAGCGACATACCGACCACTGCACAAACCCATCCGGTCACATTCTTTGATCACCCTATGCTCCTACAGCTGCGCTCAGGCGGGGGGGAAGGGGGGAAGGGGTATTTGGGGCAGCCGATTGCTTCTGTTTTTCCCCACCGCTGCCTTTCTTGGCATCTTGGCGTTGCTATTTGAGCAGCACGAATAGCACAGCTCTACGAGAGTTAATAGGTCTCCACAGGAGGCGTCGGCAGTGATCAACGGGAACCATCGGAAGCTACACCGAGCCGGAAAGCACCAATTACGTTTCATCTGTACTCCTTCAACCATACAGTATCTACCAGCGAACAATATAGCCAACTATGGAATCTATTTCACTCACTTAATCTGACTTGGTCGGAAAATCAGCTTGAGACACCAACTGTTGAATTCAGAATTTCGTTTTGGAGGCGAGATTTCGTTCTTACTCGCCCAAGAAGCTATCTCATCGAGTACTGGATTGACTGCCACCACACCTTTCATGCCGCGAAAACGGAACTGGAGAAAAACGAGGCATGAGTGCTACATGGAAGGACAACACAAAAACGAATGTAAGTCACCTGGTAACAGCTCGGCACACACTTTCCTAAGGACATGTCCTTGGCGATGGCCGCTGCAAACCCGTAACTTATCATACCTACTCCATCGCTGAACGTATATGCCTCCCTAAACAAAAGTAACAATTTAAACACAGGAAAAAAACCACAGCGAGGCTCACAGGAACCTACTCATAAAATTCTGATTTATTACAAATGTGGAACACTCTGTAAATGTCAGGATGCGGTGAAAAACCGAGGATCATGGTCCAGCTATGGCACACTGACCCGTAGCTGCCGAACTGCTACTTTTCTCACTCAAAAACGCACGGAAATGAGGCTGGAAGTAGCGGTAGCTGGGTGCCGTTTGGAGCTCCACCCGCACGCAAAGTACGCAGTACCTGACATGCCACACCAATGACTCTATGACGCGATCGGGCTTCCTCTCCGCGCCTCTCTCGTTAAATCAGGGAGCTGCTGCACTTTACACGCGATGGGCAGCTTGCCTTTTTCGCTGCGGGACCCTTTCGACAGACATGTTTCTCGCTGCAGACGTCCAATAGAGACTCAATGGACATCCGCTGGACATCCACCTTTCACGACGCTCTAGCCTCATTCCGCGCCCTCTTGAAGGCCCCACTGACGAATGGCACATTTGTACAGCTATAGACCCGGTCACCTCTCCACAGAATGATAGAATCTTGCAGGCAAGCACATAGGTTGCCTTCCAAGAGATTGTGCGCGATTGTCAAAAGTGCACCTGTCTGCATAGGACCTTGGCTAATCTTGAGCGGCTGAATCGTGCCATTTTGGCTATTCAAAAAAAAGCGTGATAAGGAAGCTGCATGCGTCCGATTAGTTGATTCCCTCCTTCCATTCGATACACCATTCTTCTATGTGTTGACCGTTGCTCGGATGCGAGCTATCACTGTTGTTCGGTGAAAATGACTGATGCCGGTCACGCTTCTTCGAGGACACTTTCAATTGAAGATCTGAAAATACCTCTGGCAGGGGAGGCCCTAGTGTTGTGGGTGTAGAGTGGGCTCACTACAAAGGCGTAGTTCTCCTGTGTGTCGAAAATCTGGATACCTGACTCATATTTCCTTGTGCAAGTTGGAGCTGTTTTACCGAACAAAATGAGCCCGAAACACACTCGTATTTTTGTCCAGAAGATGAGGAGCTCTCTATCGCATAGCTCAATCGTGAGCTTTTAGAACCTTTTCTCACCCCTTCTTAACATTCCCGTGAGGGCGCAACAAAGACGAACCTTTTTATGGTCCTTGAGCCTCTACAACATGCAACATTGCAGTATCGAAAATGCGCTCAATAACCTGAAAGACTTCCCTTGTTAGAAAGCCTCATTGGCTTCAGCTAGCGTTCTGACTTCGCGACGGCAACGCAACTAGCCGATTCTTTCTCCCCTTTTTTTCTCTTCCATCTATATTGTAGCTTTCGTTTTAACCTCATATTAGGTCATCATATTCGAAAGTGCCGAGACATATAGAGGAATTGCAGAAAAGCAAAGGGGATAGGGAAGCGGGCTACTATACCACTTGGAGGCTAGTACCTTCAGATGTGTATCTGTGAAATTTGGCGATCCTACTCACAGAAGAAATTCTCGAGAAATTGAAAAGAAATCCGAGTGATGAAAATTAGCGCACGATTTTCAGATCAGACGTCATAAAAGGGAAATACGCTGCTGAAATTCGACCGGCACCGGACTAGTAGTTGTGGGTAGTGGTGTTCTCGAAGTACAAGGTGGGAGGTTTGGTTATGGAGTCCGAAGAAGGAAGAAAGGAAAAAAATTATTGTCGTAGATGGTCCCATAATGTTCATCCTGCACAAGAAAAAGAGTGGATGAAGTCAAGCGCTGAATGCCTGATCACAAAGCCTGAACCTTTGTCGAGCTTCCCCGCGACTCTGACATCCCAGCTGCAACTGCTGCCCGAGTTATGTCTGATAAACTGAGGATGGTCAAGAGGGTGTACGCATGGGTGCCTAACTTTCTTGTAGAAGCACGAACGTAGTACCTATTCTGTGCCTCTAGCAGTAATGTTCTCAGCATGAGATGTCATTCACGACTGTGAAAACGCTTCCCGATAGATGAAATATGGGTGGTCTTGGACCACGAGCCAAAACTCACAATCGTCAATTTTGTATGAATGCAAATGAGAAGTCGCCCGAGTTCTACCCTGAGGAGTTACGTGGGCCCAAGCGGATGATCATCATAGCGAAGAATTCCCACACCGTGGCTTTCAGGCGTCCCTATACGGAGAGTAGAATCGCCGCTGTCGGTGAGGATTGCCTGTTCCTCGGCAATCAGTTCGACAAATGGATGGTACCACACAACTACAAGAAGGTCACCGTTGTTCGTCATAGTGCCAGACCCTGAGCAATTGTATTGGGGGGCGGTGCTGGGACGCAAACAATACTGGGACCTGGGTTCAATCTCCCCATTCGCCCGACATAAAGCCGAGCGATTCCAGTTGTTCTCGTCAGTCGAGAGTTCCCCCAGACGGCGAACGCTACAATGTTTGTCATTCACCGAAATTGGTCATCAACAGCAATTTACCCGCACTTGTTGAAAAATCGAAGGCACCAGAGGTCCAAAGGCTTTGAGAGCACTGGGAGCGGGTCACTGGTAAAGGAGGGACCTGACCTTGACGCGAAGCCAAAATATTACTTTTTTATCTATTCTCCTCTTTGTTTTATTCAAATAAAACCACAAAATAGTTATTACTTAATAATTATTCAAATAAAACCACATTTTTGAATGGGATTACCTAATACTTTCCTTTCGTTCTTTCACTATTCTATCTTCACTTCGTCTATTGTCATCTTGTTTTCTACTTTCAAACACAGAATTTTCAGATGAATGGTTTCTCTTGACTGCGCACAGTGCTTAAATGCTAAAGTGATATTTTTTAGTCTTGTGTTGTTTTGCTTCCCTTCTTATTCTTTCGCGTCATATATAGGTTTTCTTTTTACTCATCCTGTTTCCACTAACCCTTCCGCACAGACCCTCCATAGTTTTTCGTTAATTTTTCCTCTTCCTGCTATAATGGATTGAAGCTGATGCTCACTGCAATTGATCTCATACGAGCATAGTTTTTTCTACGCGATTATAACCTTATTTCTCTTCATTATTCTTCCCTGTTTTTTTTTGTTTTGTGTTTTTGAAACTTCCTCTCCAATGGTTTCTTTCGTCTGTCTTGCGCAGAAGCCCGATTTCGTGGGTTTTGCTTGCCTCCCTTTTCGATCTTCTGAACCATATATTCGTCAAAAGCAGCGATCTGCTCACTTTTGGCAGAGGGGCGCGAACTAAATCCTGCCGTCGCGAAGCTTGAGCCTTCCCTACGAAGATATCATGTATCGACTGAACGGCGAAGACGACAGGAAAATCAAACTATCACTATCTCTCGGCCACGCAATTTCGAGTGAAGAATGTTGTCCATTTCAGCTGTTACGTACCTATCCAGCCCAACATGGCAAAGACCCCACTTTCTCTCGATAATCGTCAGGGCACCTTCAATGAAGAATAAAAAGCTATGATGGCTATACCCCAACCATGTCTGGTTACCTAAGGTTGTCTCCAGGTAACGAGACATGACTGGGTCTCTGAATTAGGTCACCTCAAATATAGTACTTCTTTGATAACTCTACAATGTGAACACTAAGACTGCGTGGATTCGTCGGTATTTATCTGCCTCTGTCCGCAAGTGGTGGAATTGGAGTGCTCTGGTATCAATCTGACGTGTCATTTCACCTCGAGGCAGATACGAAGTGAGTGAGGTTGTGCTTATTTTTTTTACATAACGGCATGTACAACGTGTGTGCGAAGGTGAAAAGGGTGTCGCGGCAGCCCGCGGCTGCTGGGGACAAAAACTGGGGTAGACCTAAGATGGCAACGTTTGCGAAAAACCGTCAGAACACTTCTGCATGGGGAAGAAACTCGCTTGATCAGCAGTGCTGAACACTGAGATAAAAAGAGCTTCATCACGTCACGCTTTCCACTAACTTCACTCTCTTTCAACTGTGCAAGTTGCACGTTTATTGGAAGACGAAGGCCCATCATCCTTTTGAGTAATTTTAGTAACATACGGACCCTTCAACCTGCTCCTTTAGTACGACCCCGTTACAACACACATAACATTTAACAAATTACGGTGAGCCGTAGTCGAGGAAGGTGTGGGCACGTCTCATCGACTAAGGGAAATGTTTTTGCCGTGCCACCAGCTAGGGTGTATACAGCGTATCATATGGGAAAAATGAACAATTGGAAAACACTTTCTTGGGCAAAATGCCTTTGTGTTGTGAACCTCCACTGTGATTTATATGAAGAGAATGTGCCCTAGTTTAGGGTCGGAAATTCAGAACATATCCCACTTTTTGTTGTTCCTTCCCCCAATGATGTCGTAATCGGTGTGATAATCCTTTCGGTCGAGTGTACAGTTCGTTTTCTGAAAATGATCTAGTTATGGTAAATATACAGCAATATATACTATAAGGATATACCCGGCTTTGGGTGAAACATTGCCCAAGACGCGCCATAAGTTTTGGAATGTTCTCCATTTCCTCGAACCTGAACAGAAGTTTTCTGAGCTATCGCTTTTGACAATAGCTGGAAAGTGTCCGGCACGATAGGCAAAGACCATTCTATTTTTCACATATACAGTCATATCAAAGGACCTCAGTGTTCCACATATTCTGTGAAGCATTCGCTGCTAACAAAAAAAAGAAAAGGGTGAAGCTTTAGAAGCTTTAGTCTCAATCTGTACTTTTGGGATGCGAACACTTTTACTTCCATTCAAAATGGTAGTGGTTTACTGAATGCGATATGGCCTTAAACAATGACCAGCAGGGTGACGTACCTATCAGTATTATTATGCTTCCAGGCAAAAATTGACACCAATTCATCCTTCTAGCAAGTAGAATGCCTGGGTGGCCTGGGCGAGAACGACGCGGAACATGGTCCTGCGATCACTAGTGTAGGAAGCGCTCATTTTGTCATTGCGCTCCTATGCAAGGTGATAAGGGTGGCTGTTCAGATGGGCCGATCCATGAAAGAACGTCGTCGGCGCGCTCCACTCCCTTCCGCCTTTTTCACCGCCCTAAAACGTTCCCTGGCTTCGTACAAGATAGTATTTTCAGGCAACGACATCCGCCGACTTCAAGCCACAATTCGTCACTATCTGAGGCGCAGTATTCCTCTGTTGCACAAGGTAGACCACTCCGTAGCCACAGAAATAGTACCCCTTTCGCAGCC